TGCCTTGCTAGCCTGGCTCCTTGCTGCCATGGGCAGAGGGCCCCTGGTAGCCCCCGGGACAGATCCGCTGCCATGCGCGCCGGAGCAAAGCACGCTGCATCCTCCTCTGAAGCACACGGAGGAGGAAGGGTTGGCTTGTCGTGGGGTCGTTGGGACTGGAGCACCACAAACTGCTGATGCATGAAGGGCCGGGGCGATGGAACCGTGCCCCTTCCTGGCTGATCCTGCGGGGACGTCTGATTCCCAGGAGCCCCCGGGACAGATCCGCTGCCATGCGCGCCGGAGCAAAGCACGCTGCATCCTCCTCTGAAGCACACGGAGGAGGAAGGGTTGGCTTGTCGTGGGGTCGTTGGGACTGGAGCACCACAAACTGCTGATGCATGAAGGGCCGGGGCGATGGAACCGTGCCCCTTCCTGGCTGATCCTGCGGGGACGTCTGATTCCCAGGCCCCCGGCTTCTGAACCTGGAGATTCCTGGCAGAGACCACCCCATTCAAACAAGGCAGGAGCTTCCTCCCTAGCCGGCTGGGAGGCTGCGGTTGAAACCCACCGGTCTCTGCTGTTCTTCACAGGCTCCTGGAACCCTCTTTCAAAACCAGAACCTACATCTAGAGCCTTAATTCTCCTAGAGGTCCCTTGGACAGGCCAAAACTTCAGCTCTACCAGAGCCAGCCAGGGAATTGTCCCCTGGCTGCTGGAACCACAGCTCTGAGTCTGATCGAGTACGGCCCATTCATGGGATTTCTTTGTCTTAACAAAATAGTCTGTGTTTACGTAGGGCCTGAACAAAAACAGAAGCTGTGGAGGGCAGGTTATATGTGATTAGATCCTGTTGCAAGAGTGGGAGGGGTGTGTAGGAACCACAGCTGGGAGCCAGGGGAATGCCCTATATCGGCCATTTTTATTCCTTTCTTGTATCAATCTAGTAAGACCTTTGGCAGCTGGTGGAGATGGTTTGGAGAGGTTTCAACTATAAAGCAAGTGGGTTTTTTCTTTTTTAATTATTTTTAATTTAAACTTGAGGCTTTTTTTTTTTTTTTTAAAGTCACCTCTCAGAATTTCCTTCCAGCTCAGAGACTCTGTAAAACGGTAAAACCACTTGGAGATATTATCTTTTGTACATTGAAAGTGAGCTCTCACTCCTTGCATACAGGAGAAAGTTCGGGGAGGAGGGACCTGATGGGTGGAAAACCCAGACTGGGTTCTCCCACCTCCGACCCAGCCTGTTGCGTTGTAAATAGTATTTTTGTATGTATTACTTTCCTGACTGTCTCAGGCTTCCTACGCACCCCTGAGGATGGGGGATGTACAGTTTTATGTAAAACAATAATTAAACTGAAGACATCTCAGTGTAAGGAGGTTTTTTTCCCCACTCCAACTCCTCTGTGGAAGTGCGTTTTATATATAGATATTGTTAGTCTCTGAAGTTTTGTTTCTGACAAGGGGTGTCTGGCAGTAAGTTCTCAAGGGCCAGAGAAGTGTCTTGTCTTAGGACACACACTAGCGCAGTGGTTTTTATACTTTTCTCATGACCCAGTTGAAGAAAATTTGACTGGGATGAGGTCTCGGGGGGGGGGGGGGGGGGGCTGAGGAGGAGAGCTTTGGGGTGCAGGAGGGGAATCCGGAGGGTCAGGGCAGGGGCAGGAGGGGCGTAGTTGAGCAACTCCCAGTCAGCAGTGCAGGGTGGAGGGAAGTGTTAAGGCAGCTTCCTGCCTCTCCTGGCACCGCAGCCCCTGCTGCGCCCCAGAAGCAGCCGGCAGCAGGTTCCCCGCCAACGGGAGTGCGGAGCTAGTGCTCGGGGCAGGGGCAGTGCAGGGAGCCCTGTGCGCTCGCCCATGCCCTATGGGCAGGGGCTGCTCTGGCCAGGCGGGAGCAGCCCCTGCCTGTGACGGGGAGGGGGGAGTCAACCCAGCAATGGGCAGGGCTTCGTTCCAGTTCACCCTCTCCCCCTTTAATCAATTAACCAGTCTAACAATATGTTTAACCAGTTAGCCAATAAAACGGGATTTTACATCCCTAGTTTCTCTAGCTCCAAGTCCCTAAGGGCATGTCTACACTACCCCGCTAGTTCGAACTAGCGGGGTAATGTATGCATACCGCACTTGCTAATGAAGCCCGGGAAATTCAAATCCCGGGCTTCATTAGCATAAGCGGGGAGCCGCCATTTTTAAATCCCCGCTGCTTCGAACCCCGTGTAGCGCGGCTACACGGGGCTCGAACTAGGTAGTTCGGACTAGGGTGCCTATTCCGAACTACCGTTACTCCTCGTGAAACGAGGAGTAACGGTAGTTCGGAATAGGCACCCTAGTCCGAACTACCTAGTTCGAGCCCCGTGTAGCCGCGCTACACGGGGTTCGAAGCAGCGGGGATTTAAAAATGGCGGCTCCCCGCTTATGCTAATGAAGCCCGGGAAATTCAAATCCCGGGCTTCATTAGCAAGTGCGGTATGCATACATTACCCCGCTAGTTCGAACTAGCGGGGTAGTGTAGACATACCCTAAGTGTTTCTTGGGCCTTTCCTCTCATGCTAGTAAAATCACAGTTTAGTGGCGGATGGAGCCCTTGCAGGGTAATAACATCTAGGGTTGCCAGATGGTTTCAGAAAAAATACCGAACAAACAACAAAACATGCCAGGAAAAAGTTTAAGCAAAACAAACACCCCCCTCCCCCTAAAAAAAAAAACCCACCGTGGCCCCTTTAAAAATCGCGTGGCGAGGCTTTTTGGCCCTAACAGGTTGTCGGTGGCCGCCCGCCATCTTGCCTCCCTGCGGCGGGCCGCACAGCTTTAGGTAAGCACTAGGGGGTGCCAGGCTGCCTCCGTATTGAGCTGGACAGTCCAGGATTTTTGCCTCCTGGCCAGGAAAAAATCAAAGTACCGGACATTTTAGGTGTCTGGTATTTTCTGAATGTTTTTTACCGGACAGGAGGCAAAAATACTGGTTCTATACCGGACACCTGGCAACTCTAATAACATCGGTGCCTCTTCCCACGTTCCCTACTGCCATCTGTCGGACACAATCGGAAAATTCACCCCACAGCAGACACAAGCCACCGGTGGAAGGAAGTCTGAGCAATTCAGCAAATACGGCACTTCCCTGAGTTTTCTCACTTGCTTGGCACTGTCCCAAACACCTGTCCAGTTATGGGATAGTATAGTCTTCCCCCTTACACTGTCCTTCAATATGAAAGCATCTCTGTTGAGGAAATGAAGTATTGTTATCTCCGCTGCACATTAGGAGAAATTTGGCTACACAAAGAAAAAGTGACTTGCCCACAGTGGCAAAGGAAGTCACTGACAGAGACGTTACCAAGCCAGAGTCTTCACATGTTCTAAGTGTCTAAACCCCAATTTGCTAAGCACTTAAATCACCTTTGATCATGGAATTCGGGCATTCCGAAATCTGGTTTTTGAAGCTTTGACCAAGTCTGTAAGTTTTGACGTCACCAAAGAGGAGGGCAATAAGCAGAGACAGTGCCAATTATTTTCTGTTCTCCTTGCAGAAAAAATGCAGGAATTCTGTAAATGAGATAAAAAGGAATGCAAGGCAGTCTGATAAAATAAGCTTTCTTAGCCCAAGCTCTAAGAAGTGGTAATGTGAGTTCTAGCCACAGAAATGACTTCTATAGCCACAGCGCATGATTTTTTTAAAAAATTACTAAAGGTTGTGCCCCAGGTTAAGTGCCCTAAATACAGCTCATCTGAAGAAGTGGGTTTTACCCAAGAAAGCTCATGAGCCAATATATTTTGGTTAGTGTCACGGGGCTACTTGTTTTTAAAGTTACAGACTAACACGGCAACCCCTCTGAGACAAACTACACCTGATTTTCCCCAAATTAGTGAAAGTTTTGCTGCCTGGTCAGTTCCGTCCCCCCCCCCCCCTTTTTTTTTGGCTAGATAAGTTTTGCTGCTATTTTTGGGGGAGGGACCGGGGGAATGAGGATTTTTCAAAAATCAAAAAGGGGGGCATGATGCCAATTATTAATTATTATTTTGCTAAATAAGTTTTGCCACTATTTTGGGGGAGATGAGTCTTCTTCAAAAATAAAAAAGGGGGGCATAATGCCAGTTACTTATTTTTGCTAAATAAGTTTTGCCGCTATTTTGGGGGAGATGAGCCTTCTTCAAAAATCAAAAAGGGAGGCATAATGCTAAAAAAAATTGAGCGCCACTCTTCTAAGGCTGTGCAGCCTTCCTCACGATTTGTTTTTATTTATTTAGGATTTACTATTACAAGACCCAGCTGCCCTTCAGGGACCGCGGGGCGCTAGATCTCCCCCCTAACCCCCCAGTAGCTCCCCCAGGTTCGGATCAGAAGGGTGCTGTGCCCCGTCGTAACAGCAGAGGGCGGCACATGTCACACAGCCGTGTGCGCTCCCCATTCATCATTTAGCAGAACCTGAAGGATCAGCGCCCCGCTGCCGCGCGCGGCTTGGCCACGCCTCGCGCCCG